TGTAATTACTTATACGAATATTTAACAGTCTATGTAAATAGTGCTAATTATGATATTTATATATGCGTTGAATATATAATGCATAGAGTGATACAATGTCTATATCATTTGTTCTTTCTTCCAGTCAAAATAGAAGCCTGTCTAGAAAGTCTCTTAGCAAAGCTGCTCTTCTTTGGCGTGCTGTCTTCATTACTGGATAAATCAGACTCTTGTCTAGGGAGAGGTAAGTGCCGACTTGGCCTACTGGAATGGCTAACGCTAGGCGAACTTATTCTTCTTGGAGATATATATTCCGCTGAAGGCACGGTCGAATGAGCAACAGGAACATTGTTATTTGATGCATTTGCTGACACTGGTGCGTTTTGTTGTTGTCTGCTTTGTAAAGCAGGGCTATATGGTAAGGATTTTGGTTTTGCAAGGCGAAATACGTGCAGTATAGGCTTCAAATAAATTGATGCCAAAGTTCCAATATTCAATTCAAGTTCTTCTAATATATTTGGATCAATATTATCGCTATCTGTTGAAATGACTGGATTAGAATTCAAAATGACTTTCTTAGTATTTGCTTGAAATTCGCCATCTGCGCCGTTAGCATCTTCGGCAGAAAGCAATCTCCAATATATAAATCCTCTATCTCTAATATCGGGATTATCTACTTCTTCTGTTGCCCATTTCAATACTTTCAATATCAAGCTTTCGCCTCTTTCTGGTAATTTCAAATATAACTTCGTTGCAGCAGTTAGTATGGCATATTGTACTTCTATCGGATCATCCCTAAATGTAGAAATAAAATCTCCCATAATAAATTCCACCTTCTCAATATGTTCACAATATTGACCTAAAATCCAAATCATCGCAGTTTTGGCTTCCGGTTCATCAATAACTTTATAATGCTTCATTAACTCCTTAATTGCGAAATTGTATCTACCTGGATATTTCCGCAAAATATTTTTAATTACAATTGTAGATTCTTGTACGATATAAGAGATTCCATTAGAAATTAGATCACATATAACGTCAACGCATTCGTCTGATGCTCCAGTTAGTTTAACAGCTAGATTTCCAAAGGCTCTAATCGCCTTTCTAGCCATGGCAACATCTACCTCAGTTGCATATTCCTCTAATTCTCTCAATACGATACGAACATTTTGTTCGTTTGCAGCTAAGTAAATTATTTCTAGCTTTGTATCTTTAATATAAATAGGGTCATCGTAACGGCAGAAGAACATTTCAATATCGAAACTTAGTAATTCCTTTCTACCTAGAAGGAGAAGAATAACATTTCTCAAAGCAAGGAACTGTGTTTCTGGTGGTTTAGACAAAAGAGACACAAGAGAAGATCCTAATTTCTTTGATAAAGTTGGAATTACTAATTCTGGATTTTTAACGTAATGGCTGAAGTATACAATTATCTTAATTGCGTTCAAAATAACGGCGGAATTTTCATGTTGTAACGAGGGAATCGTAGCTTCAATCAAGTCCAAGGCCTCTTCCGTAGTCTGTGGAATATAAGCCATTAATGAATTTAATATATATATTTGACACCATTCGTTTGTCTTCCCCAAATATGACAATAAGGTGAATGAATGTTTCCTATCAATGGTCAACGCTAGCGTTTTTCCATTCTCAGTGATATAACTAAGTGCAGCTAGAGCATTTGCAACAACCGCTTCATTTGAGTCATATAAAAGCTCGTTCAAATCTTCAAGTAAATGCAGTTGCGTAGCTCTTTCCCGATCATGTTGAAATAGTCTTGACACCGCAAAAGCTGCCGCTTTTCTAACATGAGGATCGGGAGAATGTAAACCACCAATCACCTTGTTAAATGTAACCTTAACGTAGTCTTTATTTGGAATGGATGATAACGTTTTGAGTGCCAACGCTTTCATTAAAGGATCCGGTTCATCTTCAAACCGGACCAAAAACGGTAACGCTTCATGAGCATCCTTCGGACTAGAATTGGCGAACGTAACCAAGTATTGGAAACACATCTTCCTAATTTCGAAGTCATCAAACTTCATAAGGGAAATTATATCCGGAAAGAATTTGATAATTTCATTATTATTCAATATTATATTGGCAAGTACTTTTTTTAAAACAACTTTAATTCTAGCCTGTGGTTTTGATTTTTTAAGTGCCCGTTCCAACTCTGCCCTTAACTCGGCGGACTTAGTCTTGACAAATAGTTTACCATCACTCATTATTGTTGACCAAGAAATGAAATAGTAGATCAAATCATTAAGACTCAGTTTACAATTGAATAGTTCCATAAACGCGTGATTGATATACAGGAAAGCAATATTTAGCTGTAGGTATATTCTTTCATATTACATCTAAACAAATACTTCAGGCTTAAGTATCCGATCAAAAGACTAAGTTCTTAGCAACAGGATAGTTAGGGTTGTAATTAGTCAGAGCATATTATTTAAAAAAAGAGAAACTATTACATTAAATCGACAACAGAACAATATCAAATAGATGCAAACGTAGATAATTCACGTTAATTGAACATAACCTGATGCATAACTGACACTGCTCTCATGGTATTTGTGGACCTCACTACTTTGAGAATAATTGATCCAGTTGAATACCTTACTACCAGTTACAATGGACTTACCCGATTTTTCATATTCTTCAAGAAGTCTCAAAATAATACCTATTGGCTTTTGACCACAGATTGTATTACTTGTGGCAGAAATGTATTGCTGCCAGAGACTATAGGACCCTGTTGATGCAATATTCATGGCCTCTCTGTCCAAAAGTTCTATCGATTGGTAAATTGGTAGGTCTGTGGACTTCATTTTCGTAGAATGACGTAGATTAATTAGATCATCCTCTTGGATTCCCTTCACAGGCTTCTGAGGGAGATATTTAGTGAAACCAAATCTAGACCCCCAATGGCAAAAATCAGAACTAATTATGAATGTATTCTCTTCGTCATCTAAATATGGCAATAGAGCATCCACTATATCTTTACTCAATCGATCGCCCATTCCACTAATCATAATCGGGATAATCAGAGGCAAGCCTTGGGGCAAATGCTTGGATTTGTAGTAAATAAAAGGGGTGTGCATTTCAAACGAATGCTCGTCATCATCAACATCTTCACTCATGTACTTGAAAACTCGACTACCCTTCGAGCCCTCAATACCAGTTAATTGCTTCGTAACTTCAACATCCACGGGCAATTTTCCGAATGGGGTCTCATAATACTCGTATCTTGAAACCAACGCAGAGCTCTTAAAATATACGTGATGTGATGGACCCAATATAAAAACCCGTTTAACTTTCGATGTATCCCACGCCGTGAACGTCTCAGCAAGTCTTGCTCCACTATAGGCAAATCCAGCGTGTGGACCAATCAACATCCTAGCTCCCTTTACCGGCTTTCCGTTGCTACTGACATTGTGAGCTTGTTTAAAGAACCCTTCCAATTGCGATCCCAATTTAACGGTACTATTTGGATACCATGTCCCTGCATGACTTGCGGGACGAATAGACATATTTTCCTGGGTATGGACTTTTAATAACTTATAATCCAAAACGTTCAATTCTTACAAATTAGGCTTTGCCTTTCTCTGATCAATGTTGGTTTTTCTTCTTCACAGACTATGTATTCTTTGAGAAAGAGCCAACTCTATTCAAGTGACTACTCTGCTAGAAAATACTGTGTCTATTACTAATCAAAGAAAAGCAAGACGTTATTTGTATGATAAAGACAGTAATGAAGTGTATTACAGCATCAGGTGTAATGACTATAGATAAGAAGTTTTGTGTAACTTTTTTTACTAAGAGGCTACATAGTAAACTTATCACTGATAAGTCAGTTATCGTACAGAGTGATCCGAAGGGTCCGTCAGAAACAACAGACGGCAAACCCGTATGAATTGTAACTTTCTAGGAGTAATAAAAAGTATTGTGTCTAGATTGGTTATCCAGAACATAATGAAAAAAGGTTGCGTGCGTAATAGCTCTAGAAATAATATGTTTTGCAATTATTGAAAGAGTTCTTTAATATTGTATAAGTGTATATTGACCTGTTTTTGACAAGCTATATGATATAAAATGACTTTAAAAATGGTCTATTGATTACATGCAAATATTAATGATATAAATATTCGTAGATCATAAGGTTTACTAGAACAACTCAACTACTTTTTCTTCGTAATTTCCAATGACCATTCAGTAGTCATCAATTCTTCATCGTTCGCATAGTAGGTAGATGTAGCAGGGTACACGCCTCTAACAATGAACCCACCAGGGGTGGTATCTTCTGGGAATTCCTTTACGTAAACCTCGTCGGATGCTTCGTAGTCACCAACTTCGAGTTCTCTGGACTTTACGGTGATACCGTGTCTCTTAACGATCTGTTTGTATTTGAAGTCCTTCAAGGTTTTCTTAGCTTTGAAGTGGATGGAGATGACGTATTTCGAGTTTTCAGGAATCTTAAACTCAATTTTTTCGGCCCCTAATACTGGAACAAATGTAGGTTCTTGACCTTCGATCGAGATGGAAAATTGAACGATTTCAATGTCTGGATGGGATCTAGCGACTGTCATATTTACTTGAATTAGTTATGTACACTTGCAAAATATAAAACCATTACTACAGCAGATTTGCAGCTACTTATATGCGATTTTTGTCCTCGGTAACGAGAATGCGGGGGTGGCCTTTTTTTCTATGGCTCAAGCTATAGGATCAGTTTCACATGATACTTGATGAAATATGAACCAATAATAACAGAAGTATCTGGCATAAGATGCTTAGTGATGTGATCGTACATGAGATTTAGATGTAATGCTTTGGATTCACGAATCCCAAGGCTGTATTCTATTCTCCCTTGAAGAAGGAAATTTCACTCATCTTTTTTTTAGCTGCGGCTGCGGCCTGAGATTAATCGTTTGATCTTGCTTCCCTACTTCATTAACCGAAATGAACGTTTATTGTAACTGTAATTAAATATATAAATTTGGTGGTTTTCGGTGACCATGAGCCCGATATTAAGGCCCGAGACGTTCGGTTCTAAATGAATCTACCTCTTCTTGTAGTAGCGATTTTAAGTCTGAGATCGAAGTCGCCATATATTCAAACTTAAAATCGAATGGGAGACTACATTCAGGTTCATCCTTCGGGTCCCTTACTTTATGCAAAAATGTGTGGGACAAGCATTGATAGATATCCAATCGATCCTGAGGATCCCAACACAACAAGTTTTGCATTAGATTAATTGCCGGCATCGATGCATATGGGTAAATGTGCTTGAGGCTCGAAGGCAAATACAGGTCCCTTGCTGCTGTAGCAATGTTCCAGTCGTACTTTCTAATGATACTGGTGGCAGGAGAACCTAAAATCTTGACTATTTCACTAATCTGTTCTAATTGATCTTTTCCCATGAATAGAGGCCTGCGACCGTATAGCTCAGCAAGAATGCACCCTACAGCCCACATATCAACGGCCTTTGAATATCGCTTATTCGAGAGCATTAGTTCCGGGGCCCTGTACCAACGCGTTGCAACGTAATTGGTTATGGGGGCCGATTTCTGCTTGAAGTACTTCGGATTTATGCCTCTTGCCAATCCAAAGTCGCAAATCTTCAATACCCCTTGAAGGGTCACCAAAATGTTTCCTGGCTTCAAATCCCGGTGAATGACATCTGCAGTATGTATATACTTCAACCCACACAAGATCTGATAAACGAAATTCTGGATATGAAATTCCGAAAACTGGATAGATGAATAAATAACTCTCGCCAAATCGTAATCTGCCAATTCCTGAATGCAATAAAGCCCATCGTATGGAGCCGTGGACACCAAATCCAAATCAATTAAGTTCACTATCTACCTCTATGTTAGTATCACTCCTATTTGTATCGTAAAAAGGTATATAATTACATTTCTATGGCCCTTAAAGTGTCTCATGAGCTTCAATTCCCTCACAGCTCGCTTCATCAATACCTCTCTCTTGAATATACTAGACACCTTCTTTATTGCCAATTGCAAAGTTTCCTCTCCCTTGGATGATTTGGTGTCTATAGCAGAGCAGACTGTTCCATATGATCCCTTTCCAAGAATGCTCTGGATCTGATATCGTGAGTTAATCGAAAAATTTGCATCTTTATAGATAATATGGTCATTTTTCTTCAAATTGTGATCCTCGATATTCTTATTCTGTTTCATTGGATAATTTTTAATATAAGTGCTCATGTTATCCTTCTCTATAATACTTCCCATTAATCAACTCTTTTGGGCCACCATTCGATACCACTAATAGTATTATACTAATGATTGCAAAATCGTTTGTGGTTGTAGCAAATGGGACAATGTGACACAAAATCATCGAAGCCAAAAATCAAAAATTGAGTCACATTACGTAATCAGCTAAAAAAAATTGCAAGTGAAAAAAAGTGAAATATTCTTCATACATCTCGAGACGGATTGATAGCATTCAATAGAATAAGTTACTAAATCATATTTTTAGCAGTAAATAATAACATATATTAAGATGAGTTCGTCGCACTGCAGATTTTATGAGAACAAGTATCCCGAAGTGGATGAAGTGGTAATGGTTAACGTCCAAGAGATCGCTGAAATGGGTGCCTACGTTAAATTATTAGAATATGACAACATTGAAGGGATGGTGTTGTTATCAGAATTATCGAGAAGACGTATTCGTTCGATTCAAAAGTTGATTCGTGTTGGTAAGAACGAAGTTGCTGTTGTGTTGAGAGTTGACAAAGAAAAGGGTTATATTGATTTATCTAAGAGAAGAGTTTCAGCCGAAGATATCGTCAAATGTGACGAAAGATACAACAAATCGAAGGCTGTTCATTCGATTTTAAGACACTGTGCTGAAAAGTTCACAATTTCGTTAGAGACATTATACCAATCGATCGGGTGGCCATTAAGTAGAAGATACGGCCACGCGTACGATGCGTTAAAATTATCCATCACTGACCCTACTATTTTCGACGATATTGAAGCTCCATCTCCAGATGTGTTGGAAGAGTTAAAGTTATACATTTCAAGAAGATTGACTCCTCAAGCGATCAAAATAAGAGCGGATGTTGAAGTTTCTTGTTTCAGTTACGAAGGGATTGACGCTATTAAGAAGGCATTGACGGCTGCTGAAGAGGTTTCTACCGAGCAAATGGCTGTTAAGGCTAAATTGGTGGCAGCTCCATTATACGTCATTTCTGTGCAAGCGTTGGATAAGAACCAAGGTATTGCTTTATTAGAAAAAGCTATTGAAAAAGTATCTGAAAGTATTGAAAAATCTGGCGGTATTTGTAAGGTTACTATGTCTCCAAAGGCTGTCACTGCTACTGAAGATGCTGAATTACAGGCATTATTAGAGAGAAAGGAAGCTGAAGATAAAGAATCATCCGACGAAGAGGAAGAAGACTAAGTTAATGCTAGCATTTAATTCCTCATTTCTCACCTTCAACTAATTACTTGTCATTTTACCACTATTCTTTTCCTATATATAAATTTATTCATATTATGTATCATTATACGAAATTTTTTGAAGTAATATTTATGCAGTAGATTTCAAGTACTGAAAGGCAATGACTTACTAATAACCAACTGTCTTCTATTTGCCCTTTCTACTATATATGCCGGCAAATTTGTTACAAGCAGAGAGGGAATTCGTAAGTCTGTCACAGATTCAGGGATCAATAAGTGGTCGATATTTGTCAACTCTTGGTTCCCGCTCAAGTCTAATGTTTTTAAATTGTTCCCAAATTTAACATTTCGTATAATTTTTAGTTCATTATAGGCCAAGCTCAAAGATGTTAATGAATATGGGAATTCTATTGATTCAACGCTTTTTATAGAATGGTACCCTAGTCTTAAAACTTTTAACTCAGGAGGAAAAATTACGTCCTTCAATGTAGTTATACGCTTATCATTTTCATCAATGTCAGGATCCATTTCAATATCAAGCAACTCTAACCCGGACGGGAACTGCACATTCTTCAATGTAGTCACCAAGTTGTTACCAAGATATAATTCCTTTAATGCAGTCGGAAATTGTACTTTGTTAAGTGTCTTAATATTATTATTTCCCAAATACAAACTTTCAATGCTATTTGGTAATTTCAAAGGGTTTATACTGTTCACTCCATTAAATCCCAAATTGACTTCTTTTAAAAAAGCCGGTAACTTCAAACCTCTTGTGTTAGTCATAGATTGCTGCAAATTTAAAGAGTGTAGCAGATCCGGAAATTTAACACCGGTCATTGATTCATTAGGTATGCAAGAAAGATCCAAATATTCTAAGCTTTCTGGGAACTTAGCCCCTTTAATACATTCTATTGGATTTTGGGATAATGACAAGTATTTCAAGTTTCTGGGAAAATTAACTCCTCGCAAACTATCTATTCTATTTTGAGATACATCTAAAGTCTCTAATCTCGGAGGAAATTCAACATAATTCAAGAAATATATTTTATTTTCGACTAGTTGTAATTTTTCAAGTGATGATGGGAAGCTGACGTTATCTATGCTTGAAATGGAACCATTGCAGGCCACGAGAACCTTTAAGTTAGGTGGCATTTTAAAACCTGCCAAGGTTTCTAACGAATATCCTCCACCAATATTTAGTATCTCTAAGGAATCAGGAAATTTGACACCAGGGAAGAAACGAATACAGTTTTCACCGTAATCGAATACTTTCAAGTTTTTCCAATTTTGTATATCTTCTTGAATCTCTTGACCCAACTTCGCTAAATCATTCCTTTCAGTAAGATATATCGTGTTTATTTCATACTTATTAATCACCGAACATTGTGTTACTTGGTCCCCAGCTACCTTATTCAATACCGCAAGAAACCTCAGATATTCTTGCCTTTCATACTCTTGGTAATCCTCCCACTTCTTATGAGAATCAAAATGGAAATGATATGCTATTTCAGACATACCCTGTAATCGTGTCGCAGCATGCTCGATAAAGTCGATTAGCTTTTTCATATTATTTTCAAATTCATCATTGTATTCCACACAAATATTTAAATAGTCGTACAGCACAGTCGAAAGCCTAGTATCTGAATCAAAACTATCAATTGAATTAAGTTCAATTATATAAATATTTTCATTTTTATTATTTTGAAGCCCTTCTAGAAGAATCTTCATGTGCGTATAGCGAGGTTTATCGTATACGATAACAAGTCTATTTTTCTTTACTATTGAACGATTAGGTGATTGTGTAGAATTGGATGCATAGTTATGGACTGGTTCTTCTAACTTTATTTTCTTTAATGGTGATGCTTCTATAGATGTAACCGTTGAATGCATGGTCTCGTTACTTAAATTTGATGATTTCGTTTCTTCGCCCGGTAGTATATCAGGATCTATTACATGTTCTGATACAGTCGGTATTTTATCTGCACTATAACTTGCATTATAGCTCGGCAGTATATGTGGTGTATTAGATGCCTCCTCCATTTTTTTAGTACGTAGTAATTCTATATAAACAAATTCTATTCGTATTTTCATGTTTAATTTTTTTTGTAACATTTATGCTCACTGCTTCGCTATCAAAAAACGGCAGATGAAATGAATATTTACATTATGTATATTATGTATATCATGTATATATGTATATTATAGTTATCATGTATATCATATGCAATTAGTATATATTAGATCTAAGTTTGGCTTAATCCACAACTATAAATTAAATTTACGCCCTTCTAGGGGTCCATTTGAAACAACTTCTTAAAGCAAGACCGAAAGGAACTCTTACTGATAAATGTCCACCGTAATCCGAATCAGATTCAGCATCAACCAAAGTATCACGGCCTAAAACGTAACCTCTTAATAATAACAACGATAATGCACATACAGCAAACGATACACCAGCAAATACAGAACAGTAGACATATTGTGTAGGATCAACAAACCCCCCACCTCCAGTTTTCAACGACACCCCTATAACAGGAGATGCAATCCCTGCACCACCTAAGAACACCCACAACATGCAAAAAGTGACATTTAGCTTGTTCATACCAACGAGCCTTGCAATAGAAGGAGCGACGGTACCGTAGATAGAACCCATTAACGAACCCATAATTAGGGCAAATACGATAAGCGTTGCATAGTTCCTGGCAGGAATCCACATCGCCAAAGCAAATATTGCGCATAAGGTATATGCGATGAGTGCCATAGTAATAGAACCGATTTTGTCAGCAGTGAGACCAACCAAGGGTCTTCCTATGCAAGAGCCCAATTGAACCATGGCAGACACAATTGATCCTTCATATTCGGTGTAGCCTAATGATGTAGTAAAGTTAACCAAAGTATACAATACGATCACATACGCAAACATACATGTTATCACATATAAGACGAAAAACCAGAACCCCGTGCACCTCAAACATTGCATGTCGATAATGGTGAATTCAATCTTAGCATGTTTCGAACGAGATCTAATAATTGCTATGGCAACCCATACTAAACCGAATGCTATAATACTTTGACATCTGAGGGCCCAGAAAACATCTCTAGTTTGAATGACCTTTTGCATACCAAGGTTAAATACAATACCACCAACTCCAGACCCTGCTGTCGCCAAACCTCCCAGCAAGGTTCTTCTCTTCTTGAAATATTGAGGAAGTAACGTTATTCCGGGAAGAGAGATGCATGCTAACCCAAAACTATTTATGACCCCCTGTGTCATATATAATTGCCAGAGGCTTACTGAAAAACTCGCCATCATTAAACCCATAAACTGCAAGCAATTACCGAGGATGATTAGAGGTCTGGTTCCGATCCTACCTTGTAAATAGTTGATAAATGGTGAGAATAGCAATCCTCCTCCAAATGCTATCCCTCCTATAGCACTATAATCCAACTTCGATGCCCCATCGAACGTGTTGTTATTCAAATAGTACGAAAAGTAAATCGCAAATCCTGAGTTCATACCCCATGTTGAAAAATTAAGCAAAAATACCCCAAACACTATTACCCAAGCATACCCAACATCATATTGAAATTCGTTCTCATCTGCCAACGGTTTATCCTTTTCCAAGTCTGAAGATATCATATTATTTTCCGAGTTTGTACTAAGACTCTCCACATTTGGTTCGCTTCCGTCCTGACTCATCGAATGTTGTTGGTTAATTTCTTCGTTCTTCAAGGAATCAGCCAGTCCTTCTTCCATGTTTATATCTCCCTACAAATTCTTGAAGCGGCTAATAATGATTTCGAGGATTTACTTCTTTATTATGGCTTTTTATATATTAGAAATACATTATTAATAGTCCATTACGGTGCAGATAATGCACCATTGACTTATGAATTTTTTTTACCGGACCGATTCAGCTACCCGTGCGAAATTACCGATCGGCGTTTATAGGATTTACAACAATAATACATACATCTGTCATTGCTGATGTGCTTGAGTTGCATATCTTAGACTACATTGAAGTTACCTTAGCTACAACAGGATCAAGTTATTAGTACTAATTTGAGTGTGAATTTGGTACGGAAAGAGAAATTATGGAAATAGAATAATAGTAGAAATGATTGGCAGATTATTTATACGACAAGTGTCTTTCGCCGTTCGGCCTGCAGTAGAGACGGTTGTCGAGGCTTTGACTAAAGGGTAGAATAAAATACTAAAAAAAAAATCAGCACAAAAGGGGCAAGCTGGGAATTGAACCCAGGACCTCCCGCACCCTAAGCGAGAATCATACCACTAGACCACATGCCCTCTTGCAAGTAAATTTGAAAAAATGATTACATAAAAGGAGTTATGGGAATGCAAGCGACATTATGTTTATTCGAAGGAATACCGGATCAATTAGAGTATAGGATGTTACTAATTCTAATGAATTAAATGTTTCGTTAAAGAAAGAATCCTCATAATGCAAATAATAATTAATTTTCCCGAATCACAGACCAGATTGTGATCTATGTGGCCTCATCTTCGGAAAGAAAAGAACCAATAAATTGGTCTCGATATAGGTTCACAATATTTATATAGACTAGTATGGACCGGATTCCATCAATTGAGTTGTTAAATCTATTATGTCCCGTTGTTTCTTTAGTGGTAAATCTAAGAGCTTTTTGGTCGATAGACATTTTACATGCGCGACATTATTAGATCCATTTGAAAGAAGTTAACTTGTAGGTCTACGAAGTCCATTATCTCGACATTAGTACGCTTTCTATGATTAACACAGGTCCCATAGTCAAAAGAGTGTTCCCATACTCTTCAATATTGGTGACTATCAGCCACAAGAGAGGTTTGCATCTGTCGAGAGCCCTTTTGAGCGAAAGTCGTTTAAATTCAGTCCCTCCAGATCGTACCAGAAATATAGGAATTATCGCCCATATTGATGCAGGGAAGACAACCACAACTGAAAGAATGCTTTTCTATAGTGGAAAAACTCGTCGGATTGGAAATGTGGACGAAGGAGATACAGTGACTGATTATTTACCATCTGAAAGGGAACGTGGTATCACAATCCAACTGGCAGCCATTACAATTCCTTGGAATAAGAACAAAATTAACATTATAGATACTCCAGGGCATGCAGATTTCACATTTGAAGTCACAAGATCTTTGAGAGTCTTGGATAGTTGTGTGACTATATTGGATGCTGTTGCAGGTGTCGAGGCACAGACTGAGAAGGTTTGGAAACAAGCACAGTCATTAGGGATACCAAAGATTGCCTATGTCAATAAGATGGATAGGGATGGTGCAGGATTTAGTAGAACAGTGAAAGAAATTATCCAGAAGTTGCAAACTCGGGTAGTTTTATGTAATATCCCATACTGGGAGACCCCTGTAAACGATGTACCCATCTTCAAAGGTGTCCTTGATGTATTGAATAAAAAGCTTTTAAAATGGAATTCTGATTCAAATGCAAATGGAACTGATATTAGTGTCACTGATATAGAAAAAGAAATGGATAAGTACCCAGAATTGTACGAGATGGTTAGTAAGAGTCGTGAATCAATGGTTGAAACGTTGGGTGAATTTGACGAAACTATCATAGATTCATTTTTAGAGAATGATGAAGATTATATGAAAATCCCTGTAGCGGTGTTAAATTCTGCTATCAAAAAGGGTACGCTCGCTAATTATGTTACACCAGTATTTTGTGGTTCATCCTTCAAGAATATAGGTGTACAGCCTCTCATGGATGCAGTTGTGAACTTTTTACCTTCCCCTTTAGAAACCAAAGTTCCTGAAATCAGTTCCAATGCTCCAAAGGCCTTAGCTAAGATGAAAGGCAAAAATCGTAAGAAGAAAGTAAGCTCGGAGCCCACTGATGTTCCATTATCTATGGATCCAAAGCATGGATTAGTTATCAACAAGAATCCAAATTTAACAACTGCATTAGCCTTCAAGGTTATTACCCATCCTACTCGTGGTGTTATGACCTTCTTCAGAGTTTACAGCGGTAAGTTAACGTCCAATACAACAATCATGAATACTCGTACTGGTAAGAAACTTAACCTTAGAAAGTTGTTATTGATGCATGGTGATGAACCAGAAGTCGTACCGCTGATTAGTGCAGGTAACATAGGTGTTATTTCCGGTACTGATGATGACATCATTACTGGCGATACGATTGTCTCTCATGGCCCAGTAAATAAACCATTTAATGATTTAGAATCCAGCTTGAAAATGTTACCAATTGAAATCCCGCCACCGCTTTTTAATTCATCGATAGAACCATTGACTGCGGGTGACACGAGACATTTGAATAGTTGTATACAGATATTATTAAGGGAGGATCCTTCCTTAAAGGTGAGTGTTGATGAAGACCTTGGCCAAATCATTTTGAGTGGAATGGGAGAATTACATTTAGAAATTATCAAAGAACGGTTGGTTACTGATATGAAAGCTAATGCTAGATTAAGAGATGTTGCAGTTTCTTACAAAGAAACATTAGCGAAACCAAATTATCAACTGGTTACACAATCTACTGGAGATAATGGGTGTGTTTCAATAGAAATTTCTATGGATTCTTTCGAAGGATTGGCTGAAGAGTCTAGTTTTGCTGAAGAAGACGGTGCAATAGTGTTAGAGCATGAAAATAATATTGTTATTTTGGAACCTTCGGCTACGCCTGAATATATGCAAACTGCCATTGACGAAAGGCGCTGGAAATCAGACCATTCTTTGGAAGATCTTCAAGAAAGCTTGGTCCACGGATGTATCACTGCGTTACAATTAGGTGGGCCTGTATTTGGTTTTGCTTTGCATTCCACAGTCATCCGGATCAGAAACTGGCATTTCCCGGTTGATTCGAAGGACTACAATTCATCCTCATTATTGGATATTAGTAGACGGGCAGTTACCAAGAATATAAAAGATCTTGGGGAATCAGATAAGGACTTATTCAGCCTTTTAGAGCCTATTATGCAAACAAAGGTGTATATTAATTCTGACTCATTAGGTGAGGTTGTCCATGACTTAACTCATAGGTGCCAGGCTACCATTACCTCGATTGATGACGAATCCGAAAATATGGATGCATTGAACTGGGCTAACGAAGAGGCAGAAAGAGTCTACGTACCTCCTGACTATACCATGAAGAATACAAGTAATCTTCAAGTTGAATTGAGAAATAAAAAGGTGATAGTTGCAGAAACACCTTTGAGAGAAATGATTGGCTATTTATCCCGTTTAAGATCAATAACTCAAGGGAGAGGGGTATTTGATATGAGTTATCTCGGTATGAAAAGGGTAATTAAGTCAAGATTGGCTAGTATATCGAATGAATTTAATTTCATGTAATTGTAAATAGTAGCAGATAGATTCTTTATAGAATTCACGTGCATTATAATTTTTGACCATTTCCCCAGGTGTTCAAATCTGGTATAAAATAGTGACTAGTTCAGAATCATTGAATATAGCTTCGGTCAAACACACAGTATAATTGGAAGTAACCTACAATCATGTCTACTGGCCACAAATCTCTTTCGCCATCAGATTTTGTTAATGATGAAAATCAATCGGTTGGATCGTCTTCATCGTCATTTGTTCCTGTTGAACAGAATTCAGAGAATGCCATTCAGATTATTAATGAAAATAAGCAATTCAATGAAAGTATCTTAAATTATATCGAGAAGTCTACCAGTTCGTCTGAAATCGGTAATAATTATCATATTATTTCAGTTTTTGGATCGCAATCAACTGGTAAATCAACTTTGTTAAATCACCTATTCAATACCAACTTTGACGTTATGGATGAATCAAAGCGTCAACAGACCACTAAGGGTATCTGGATGGCACACTCTCCTTTGGTATCTTCAACTTCAACAAATGGGGCTAAGCTGGAAGAAAATATATTTGTTATGGACGTTGAAGGTACAGATGGTAGGGAAAGAGGTGAGGACCAGGATTTCGAGAGAAAAGCAGCGTTATTTGCGTTATCAACATCTGAAATATTGATTATCAATATATGGGAGACCCAAGTTGGGTTATATCAAGGAGCAAATATGGGGTTGTTGAAGACTGTATTTGAAGTCAACCTCTCTTTGTTCGGTAAGTCGAAGTTAGACAAAAATGATCACAAAGTCTTGTTACTATTTGTCATTAGAGATCATATCGGAGTAACTCCATTAGAGAATTTGGCCGCCACATTGACTCAAGATTTAGTTGCAATGTGGGATAGTTTAAACATTCCACCAGAGTTGTCTCACTTGCAATTCCAAGATTTTTTCGATATTTCGTTCCATACCCTAGGCCATAAAGTTTTGCAACCAGAAAAGTTTACTGATGATATAAAACTCTTGGGAAATAAAATTATTGATACACATGATAGTGATTACTTATTCAAGAAGAATTATCATCACAATATTCCAGTTGATGGTTGGACTATGTATGCAGAAAGCTGTTGGAACCAGATTGACAATAATAAAGATTTAGATTTGCCTACTCAACAAATCTTGGTAGCAAAATTCAAGTGTGACGAAATTTTGAACCTGGTGTATGACGAATTCGTTTTAGGATTTAATGAACATTTATTGACAAATGCCCCCTCAAAATCGTCGGATTCTGTGTCTAGTATTGATTATAGTGAATTGGGGTTATCCTTTATGCAAATGAGAAATGCTACACTCGAGAATTTCGAATTGGCGGCCTCTAAATATAACCAATCCGTTTATGAACAAAAAAGAGCTGCCTTATCATTGAAGATTAATAATAAATTTAATGAGCTTTTTGAGATTTATGTCAACGACTTAGTGGATAAATACACCAAATCATTTACTGATACAGTATCTTTCGGAAAGAAAAAATTACAAGGTAATACGTTCCACGAGGGTATTACCAATTTGCAAGAGTCTATCTTTCAAGAATTTTCTCAAAATATAGCATTGATTTCTTTGAATGGTGACTTGGAATATGATAATCATGTAAAAGGATTACAATTAAAATTGGAGCAAATGGTTTCTAAGCAACAAATCGTCGAACTCAATTCGATTATAACTAAATCGTTGAAAAAATTGAATAATGGTTTAGGTAAGGTTATCGTTGAGGAGTTGAATGATCCAAAAAGTGAGACTTGGGATAATATCTTGGAAAAGTTCAAACTGTACGTGGATAGTACGGTATCTAAATATGAAGTCGGTGCAGGTGAATATGACTTTGGTTTAGGAACTTCATTGCAGTCAAATATTGGTGCAATAGATAAGTTTAAATATAAATCATGGGTGAGTTTCCACGAATTGATTCATAAGTATATTTCAAAAGATAACGTATTAAACCTGTTAAAGGACAGATTTGATGATAAATTTAGATATGATGAAAATGGTTTGCCAAGATTATATCAAAATGGTCATGAATTAGAAAACAGTTTCAATGAATCCAAATCTTACGCATTGGATATCTTACCAGTGTTAACTATTGCTAAATTGAGTGATGGAACTGAAATTTTGCCAGATTATGATATTTTTGATAAGCGATTGAGAAACCAATACGGAGGTGCTTCAGTGGTTACTGCTGATGACCAACAAATCAGTATTGATACTGATAGTGAAGACGAAGAAGAAGAAAATCCATGCTTTGCTGAAATCTTATCAGAATCTGATAAAGCCGTTATATTAGGTAAATTTAAGAAAGAAATTAACGCCAAATTTATCGAAACAAAGAGGTCTATTATTCAAAATGTTACCCAGATTCCTTACTACATATATTTGGTTATTTTGGTTTTAGGATGGAACGAATTTATGGCCATTATTCGTAATCCATTATTTTTCACGTTGGCATTACTATTAGGAGCCGGTGCATATGTGATGTACCATTTGAATTTATTGAAACCAGCTAGCATAGTGGCACAAAGGATGATCGATGAATCCATTGTGTTGGCCAAACAAAAACTAAAGGAGTTCTTACTTGACGAACCCGACACTCATGGACATAACTTGAACAAGATCAGCGGTAACAAAACACCCGAAGAAGAGTCGATCGAATTAGATAACTTGGATCCTAAGTAATTCTCTATATATTTAATGCCACTCATTTACTTAATTTTAGATTTTCGACTCTCGACCAGTAGATGCAAATTCAGTGCCCGTCGCGACATAGGCACAGAAATCTTGGATATGGCACCACTGTAGCAGCTGTCGGTTACAGTATCATAATTCCCCTATTATTCCAAAAAATTCCCTGCAACCGACTTCTTAACCGAACCATATCGCGCGAAAACGGCATAACGACACAACCACACCAACATAGCCATATCCCTACACACCACACCCTGATCACATCGTACCCCGAATAAATAGCCTCTGCTCCCTAATCTCACCATTAGACACATCAGAAGAAGCATAATCCAATCTACAACACCTACACCCCGTATTCATCAACAATTACAATGCTACAATCGACCAATCCATTTCGGTTTGTTTTATTGCCGCATTAGGAATGGTTGCACCAAACTCGACCACACAAATTTTATCCAATTCTTTCTCGTTTAACGTAACGATCACTATAGTATCTAGTTACATGCATATGAATGTAATGACACATTCTAGACCTTTAAAAACCTTCGTATACCCGTTACATTAACCTACATGTCGTAGATTATGTCTATGGGACGTAGCAAAGACATTTCGTACGACATTTCGTACGACATAATGTAACCAGAAAAAATGTTACACAAAAATCTCTGAATCAATGTAACAGTCGAACAAATTACTACTAGTGATGTTACATCCTGAAAATATACTAACAAAGGTTTGTATTGTTAACGATTTTGTAGTTGCAACAACATAAATAAAACTCAGGCAAGGTGATAATATAAATTGGACAACGTACCCGTTTCTAATAAATCGTTGGTAAAATTCATCGATATTATTGAGCTTATTTTTGCATCTAAGTACTGTGTTTACTGGTCTAACTTAAGATAGGCTATTGGTTAGAGGAAACAACGTATATTTGTATTTTCGAAAGAGTGGAAATAATACAGTTTGTTAGTAACAAAAGAGGCAAGCAAGTGGTTATTATTATACCTTGAGGATTCAATCATTCAATATACTATATGTGGTGATAATTTACTCGCAATACAAATAAGACGTGAAAATATCTATAAGAGCGAAAATGATACATACGATTGTGACACCGGGTTTTTCTCCTACATTACCAGGTATGGAATCGACGGGTCTGTTGAAAGAGCACCTGCTACACCCCGTAGTTGAGGAGACGGCATCGATAGACTCAGATACGGGTGATTTATCGACTTCGCCAAGTTCGGTCAGCAGTGACTTACCAGTTACTTCAAAGACAATATTACAGAAGGCCGTACAAGGATTTACCCAGAATGTGGATCCATGCAGCTTGAAGTATCACTCAGACTGTTTATTGGACGACTTTAACGAATCGCTATCGGAAAATTCGAAATTGACTATGTTGCCGAACTACAATATTAGTCCAACAGGCAAGGAAGAGGGAAACTATCTAATCATAGATGTAGGAGGGTCAACTCTTCGTGTGGCGGTTATTAGAATCGACCCGTTTGTCAATGAGTGGGAAGATCGTTCTGAACGGGTTCACATTATCATCGAAAAGAAATGGCATATTAGTGACTCGTCCAAAACTATCGATTCGGAGTTTTTTAGATGGGTTAGTTCAAGAGTATATGAAACTTTACAAGAGCAAGATTTGGTAAAGGCAGACGATTTGGTAATTAACACGGGTATCTCTTGGTCCTTTCCTTTGGAGCAGGTTTCTCACAATTCTGGGAAAATCGTGTACGTTGGAAAAGGTTACACCATTGCATCTGATATTTACAATCAAGATTTAAAATGCATATTAGAGAAATCATTATCGGACAATTACAACATTAACATTGATATTAAAACTATTATCAATGACTCCTTAGCAGTGTATTCGGCTGGTTCATTCTTGGATAAGCACATGAAATTAGCGCTTGTTTTAGGAACTGGATTCAATATGTGTTGTTCCTTACGTACTGATAACTTGCACGAGGAGAAGAAGTTAAATCAGGATGCTATACTCCTTAATACTGAGTTATCTCTTTTTGGACACACATTGATTTCTGACTTAGCAAGCAAATATGATACTAAAATCGATAAACGATTTGATTTTAAGGATGCCGATCTTCACTTCAAGCCGCATATGACTGTTGATCCAATAACAAATGATATTTTTCAACCTTGTGAGTTAATGACTAGTGGTAGATACTTATCTGAATTGACTAGGTTAATTTTAATTGATTTGATTGAAGCAAAGGAAATTTTTGCTGAATTGGACGATAAGGACTTGTGTCAAATTTTCAAGAATTATGAGGGTATCACCGGTCAATTAATGTGTTATATATCAGAAGTTGAGGATGAAGTATTGATTGCTGAAAAGGTATGTGAAGAATTTGGCTGGAACAAATCTTTGATTACACTTTCGGATATAAGTAAGTTAAAAGTAGTTGTTAATAGTGTCATTCAAAGGGCTGCATTTATTGTAGCAATCACGATGGTCAGTTTCATAAAACTATTAGACCATCATAATGGGTGCTACGGACAAGATCTACTTACGATAGGATACGTCGGATCGGTATTACTACACTTTAAGAATTATCGGAAGTTGATATTGAAATATGTAAACGACAATGAGGATATTAAAAGGTTGAATATCAAAATAGATTTTAAATCAATCGATAACAGTTCGATTGTTGGTGCTGCAATTGGCGCAGCATATTATAAATAAGTTAATTAATGCATAGATTTATATCAGTTTACACCATGTAGCCAGACCTTGCCAGACAGGATTGCATCCGTTAAGTACTATGGGAACGTTTCCTTCTACTCGACGAATAAGTGTGAAAAAGCGTGAGCCTTTGGTAGGAATTTTTATTACAGCTTATAGATTAAATGGACATAGACTACGCTGCAAAACTACGCTGCAAAATACATTCTAACGTATATTGTGTAGTATAAACCAAATAACTCGGCTGAAATTACAACTTAGCTCTAAGTCCAGCAGCTTCATTATCACATACGACCATCACGTTGTGGTGATCCTGCAAATACGAAGAAGGGTACTTGGCATCGTTCTTCGTACCGTATAGAGTTTTTTCTAATGCAAATGTCTTACTCTTCCCTAAAACTATGATGACAATTTCATCCGAATTATCCAAAATGGTAGAGATCCCCACAGATAATGCATGCGATGGAACCTTAGATGGGTCATTATTGAAAAACCTGGAATTAGCTTGAATAGTTGACTCGACCAACGCCACCTTTCGTGTTATCGATTGTCTAACCGATCCAGCTTCGTTGAATGCCAAATGACCCTCGGCCCCTAATCCTCCCATGAAGAGATTAATGCGCCCCACACGCTTGATCTTGGCCTCGTATCTACGACATTCTTCTTCAATATCCTTTGCCAAACCATTCAATATATTGATATTCTCGCGTGGTATGTCGATGTGATTAAAAAATTTGTTAAACATGAAATAGTAGTACGATTGTTGGTTCGAAGGTTTCAATCCGATGTACTCATCCATATTGAATGTCACAACATTTTTGAACGAAACTTTTCCCTCTTTATACGCCTCAATTAGCTTACCATATACACCTTCCGGCGACGAACCTGTTGGAAGACCTAAAACAAACGGCTTGTATGCTGTAGGTGCAAATTGGTTGATTCTATCGATAATGTACTTTGCCAAATACGATGATGCATCCTCCTTCGAGCTAAATGTAACTTGCTTCATTATTAACTTATGTGATTTCTAATTTCGATTCACTAATTACTTTATTTTGTGCTTTCCATTATTTATACGTATGTATCGAGTTATATAGCCATTTGTAGTAGTTACTATTCATGAACCTCATTTTTCATAGTAACGTTACATTGCGAATTTAATTTTCATCTCTTATCATTGCGCATTACACGTTTTTTATCCCACATAATGTAACATACTTAAGGTTGCAATGCAACATAGTATGAAGGGCCTGAATATTCGAGATATAAGCATATATAAGTATATTAAGATATAGATTACCTGATGAGAAGTATTTATCGATAGAGCAAACTACAAAATGTCGTTTACAAAATTTACTAATTGCCAGTTATGTGACCAGGGTACTATCTTCTACGATGGAGAGCTATACGTGGATAATTTGACCGATAGAATTGCTAGTAAGCCGGAAAAAGGTGCAAAAATTGAAGTTGTTGATTTGGAAGGTAATATACTAGCTCCAGGGTTCATTGATATCCAGAACAACGGAATATTTGGGTTGAATTTTTCGTCTTTGAATGGAAATTCGAGTGAAGAGGATGTTGCAGGGTTTAGGAATCATTATCGTGATGCGATGGAAAAATATTTAGCTACGGGAGTGACGGCTATTTGTCCTACGGTAACTTCGAACTTCCCAGAGGTGTATGAGAAGGTTTTGCCAGTGTATAAGGCCAGCCGTTCGAGAGTGCAAACTGACTCTCTTGGAGCACACTGTGAGGGTCCGTTTATAAATCTCCAGAAGAAAGGATGTCATCCTATTGAAACATTTACAGATGCCAAGGGGGGTTATAGTGATATCACTAGAGTTTATGGCGAGGAGAACCTTTCCGAGTATGTGGCCATAGTAACCGCAGCCCCAGAAATCGAAGGAGTCTTGGATGTTATTACAATCTTGAAAGAAAAGAATATCACCGTATCCATTGGCCATACCAGTGCAGGCTACGAGACAGGGTTGCAGGCGATTGAAAATGGTGCTACAATGGTCACTCATTTATACAATGCCATGCCACAACCACACCACCGGGATGTCGGGGTTGTAGGGTTGATAACATCGCCAATTGCTAAGGACGCACCTTATTTCGGTTTGATAACAGATGGAGTCCATGTAGATCCTTCCATGGCCACAATAGCATACAGATCGAGACCAGATAAGTGCATAGTGGTCACCGATGCAATGCATTTGATAGGTCTACCAGACGGGACCTACAAGTGGGATAATCAATACATAACGAAGACAGGCCCCAGATTATATTTGAAGGGAACTAATACTTTGGCTGGTGCTGCAACCACTTTGCCTCAATGCATGCGGAATTTGATGGCCTGGACAAATATTTCGCTTCCAGAAGCAATTAAAACGGTCACTAATAACCCGGCCAAGTCAATCGGTGTAGAGAAAAAGAAGGGTTTCTTAAATGTAGATTGTGATGCCGATTTGGTCGTTTTAGACAAAAAAGGGTTTGTAAAGAATGTCTATAAATTGGGCAAACCAATTAAAACATCAGATGAGAACCGGCCTTCAAAGTTAATGGCAGCATTATAATGGGTTTCAAGCTCACATTCTAACTATTGTATACTAGATATTATTAAATAGACAATATAATGAATCATACCTAATAAAAGTGACGGAGCAATTTGTGTGACAAGTACGGAATCCGATATGGATTTAAACGGTTATTAACTATTTCTTTTATTAAATCGTCAGTAAAAGAAGGATACTTTACAACTGATAGTCAGGATATTAACAATAAAGTATAGGATGGTAGTTAATATCCATTGCATTATGCGAAGGTCATATATTCGTAGCCATTTGATTATGGTTAGAAAATATGCCACTGCGGGCGAACCTATAGACCATCATTCTAAGAACAATTTACAGCCTTGGCCGACTTCAAAGAAGCCTACACCATATGAAATCTTTCATATCGATCCGAAGGATGAAAATCTTTCTGTGTTAGAATTCAATAAGATTTTGAAGAGAATACACTCCAGCTACGTGAAGATTTATCATCCAGACATATCAAGTAATATCGAAATCCTTGATTCCAAGCAGAGGCCATTGACACCGCAGATGAAAAGGGATAGATTTGATCAGATCATGACTGCTTACGAGCTTTTGAAAGATCCCAGACGAAGAACGGCGTACAATAGATACAAGAGCACGTCGTGGGATTCATATCTGACGCAGAAGAGCACGTCGTGGGACTCGTACCGTATGGCCAATGCCCATAGGCAGAAATATAAATTTGATAATGATGAGGAGTTCTGGCGGGCTGGGACTTGGGAAGATTACTACAATATGAAATTTAAACGTAAACCACCCACAAAGGAAGAGCTAAACAAAAACAAATATAAGATCCTAGCCGGAGTCCTTGCCGTTGCAGGTCTTACGTGTGGATTGGAAGTAATGCTTGCGTTGAACAAAACGAAAGAAGTGCATCGCCAGAACATACTACTGAACTTGAAATCAATGCAAGACTTACAGAGAAGCAAAGACAACTACGGAGAAGATAGTACGCGTTTCCTGAGAATCAGACGGTTTTTATTACAGAGAAGGTCTGCTTTTGTAAATGCCGATGATGCAAATCTCGAAAAACTTAAGGCTGAAGATAGCAAAGTTTTAAGAAAGTACGCACAGCAACAAGTCGATAAGTTTTAGCACTAATAGCATGATTAATGAACCAAGAATAATGTATACGTTTTATGTATGATGTCTCTAGACAGTGAATTTAATAAACCCATTTTGTATTCTTTATGTCCCGCATCGCAGTGGTCGATATTTTTCAAAATCTCGTCCAACAGATAACTAAACTTGAATCGGGTTAATTGATGAAAACTAGACTAACCCAAATACTCAAAATGGATTTTATGAAACCAGAGACCGTATTGGATTTAAACAATATCCGCCAAGCTCTTATGAGGATGGAAGACTCGATAGTCTTTGATTTGATCGAAAGATCGCAGTTTTATTCGTCACCTTCCGTATACGAACCTAACAAATTTCAAATTCCTAACTTCAATAGATCATTTTTGGCATGGTCTTTATTGCAAATGGAGAAGACGCATTCACAGGTTAGAAGATACGAAGCTCCAGATGAAACTCCTTTCTTTCCTAACGAGCTTTTACCATCTTTCTTACCTTCGATAAAATACCCCAAAATCCTTGCATCATACTCAGATGAAGTCACTGCCAATGATCAAATCTTGAAGACATATGTTGAACAAATCGTACCGCAGATCTCTTGTAAAACTGGTGAACAACAAGAGAACTTGGGATCAGTGTCGGTTTGTGATGTCAACTGCTTACAGACTTTGTCGAGAAGAATACATTTCGGAAAGTTTGTAGCAGAGGCTAAATATCAATCGGACAAAGCTATGTATATCAAACTCATCAGAGCTAAAGATGTAAAGGCCATTGAGGCGTCCATCACCAATTCAGCTGTTGAGGCTAAGATTTTAGACCGTTTGATCGAGAAGGGCCATTCATACGGAGTGGATCCATCGTTGAAATACTCGCAGAACCCTCAATCAAAAATCCAACCCGAAATTATCGCCAAAATTTACAAGGACTTTGTTATCCCTTTGACAAAGGTTGTGGAAGTTGATTACTTGCTCAGGAGACTTGAAGATGAATCAGAGGAAGAATTGGCTAAATACGAGTAATTTCCTTGTCCCCAATACATCCCAACGATGCGAACAAGAATTTCCATATCATCAACACTTTCGATGCATAAATAACAACTTGTTTCTTTTGCCCTATATACCTATATCTATATGGCACTATTAATTGTTATCAGTTACTTATTTCTATAGTCTCAGTTCGAATATATATATATATAATTAGCTCATACAATCAATAAACAATGCGCTTCAAACGCCGTCGATGAGACCTACACTTGCATCTACATGTAAGTTTTCATAATTATTTTACCGTTTGAACACGCAAAAGTGCAACATAATTTTAAACAATAGACACGTAGTCCTGAGTCTTTGAACTATCGTCTGGTCCATTAACCCAGTTTTCCACGTTTATAACCACGTTCTTTGTGTACATGTGCGCACCCAAGGGAATTTAACAGCCATTTCAAGTGGGTATATAAATAGTGCTATTGATCCATAATACACCAATATGAACTCCCTTTATCCATTAGAGCTTCAATATGTCAGACATAATTATTGAGCAACCAATTGGTTTCTCCAACGCGTGTATTTTCACCAGTATCTCGCTCGTTTGTGCTGTTTTGGTGATATCTAGGCTCAATGAAAAATTCCACTCAGCCTTAGTTTTCGCCTGGGCATGTTTTGTCAAGCCTATCATTACTAAGGTAACGAAAAAGCCCACTGAGCAACAACAGTCGTTAGAGCTTTTCTATAAAAACCAAGCACATGTGTATGATAAGACCAGAGAGGTATTATTGAAAGGGCGTAAAGAATGTTTGAGGTTAGCCACCGCACATCTCTCTAAGAAGAAAAATATTGTGTGGGTAGATATTGGAGGAGGAACAGGATCCAATATCGAGTATATGGACCAGGTGATGTCCATCTCCAAGAATTTCAAGGCTGTCTATCTTGTCGATTTATCACCATCGTTGTGCGAAGTTGCGAAAAAAAGGTTCGCTGATAGGAGATGGAGCAACGTGCATGTTCTAGTTGCAGATGCTTGTGATTTCGGTATTGGGTATGAAAAGGCCGATTTTGTAACCTTCTCCTACTCATTATCTATGATTCCAACTTTCCACGGTGCTGTTGATCATGCTGTCAAGTTATTGGACAAAACAGGTGTTATCGCATGTGTAGACTTCGGTGTGCAAACCGAGGATTCTTCAGTTGGTAGAGTGAATACCTTAGGAGGTATTGTTAACAGAAATATCCCATGGGTTTTAAGAAACTTTTGGCGTATCTGGTTCGAGGCCGATAAGGTCTTTTTAGACCTGTCGAGAAGACATTATCTTGAGTACAAATTTGGTACCATCAAATCCCTCAATTGTTACAATAACAAATTGGGACGTATTCCGTATTATATTTGGGTTGGATGTGACAAATCAAAGTCTTCATCTTTATTAACTAGAATCAATTGTTTGGCAACTGAATCTCCATATCTTGCTCCTTCTGATGATAAGATCAAAGATATCGACATTCCTATATCTAAGGGACACGAAGCAGCCCTCATAAATTTCCAAAAGAATTTACCTTATCCATCTATCTACTACCAAAGAGAAATCTGGAGAGTTTACTTCGATGAAATTAGAGACCAATATTTACAGTTTAAAAATCAATATGTGTACGCATTTACTTGGGAAGATCCTCGTGAGGATCATAACATCTTGAAGTTTACTTCAGAGGACACCATTTTGGCCATCACCTCTGCTGGGGACAACATCTTGTCCTACGCCACTTTACCAAATCCTCCTAAGAGGATACATGCGGTTGATCTAAATCCATGTCAAAACCATCTCTTAGAATTGAAACTTGCGTCTTTTAGAGCCTTATCAAAGGATGAGATCTGGTCCATTTTTGGTGAAGGTAAAATTAAAAACTTCAAGGATTTATTAGTTGATAAATTAAGTCCCCATGTCTCCTCCAACACATTCCAATATTGGATGGACAGAGGTGACAAAACATTCAGTCCTAAAGGAAAGGGCTTGTATGATACAGGTTCTACCAGATGGGCGTTAAGATTGGCAAAATGGGTGTTTAAGATCTGTGGTGTTACCAAGTATGTTGACATGCTCTGTGAGTGTAACACATTGGAAGAACAACAAAGAATTTGGAATGAAAACATTAAGCCAACCTTATTTAACCCATTCGTCAGCTCCTTACTTATAGGTAACCCCATATTTTTATGGAAGGCATTGGGCGTTCCTGCTAATCAAGCTGCAATGATGGGCAATTCTATTTTAAAATACGTTGTCGATACCTTCGACCCAGTTATTAAAAGATCACTTATCTCTAAGGATAACTATTTCTACTACTTGACATTGAAAGGTAAGTATACCCCCCAAAATTGCCCTGATTATTTGACAGAAAAAGGTTACAAAAGTCTAACCACTACCAACAGAAAGTCTAAAGAGTCACCAATTGACAACATAAGATTACATACCGACATGCTTAACGATGTTTTTGCTAGATTGAGCAAGAAATCGTTATCCATTGCCATCATCATGGACCACATGGACTGGTTCGACCCAACCGGTGAAGATGCTTTGAACGAAATCACAGCTTTGAAAAGCTGTTTAAACACCAATGGAAGAGTCTTATTGAGATCTGCATCTACAAACCCATGGTACATTAAAACATTCGAAGACCTCGGTTTCACCTGTAAAGCTGCTGGTGTCAGAGATACCGGTGTTTCTATTGACAGAATCAACATGTATGCGTCAACCTGGGTTTGTACAAAGGTAGACGACCAAATTCCAAGTAATCGTCGTCGTATGAGTAGTTTAAAAATTTAGAAGCCCTGCAATACTAAGTCTGGCAATAGTTTGTATTTAGATCTCTATATATATATACATATATTACTGTATTATTGATCATATTGTAGAGTTAAATAGATTTCTATATTGGTTGTGAAATTGACTCAGCATGGTCCAATATGAATCGCGACCGATTAGTAATTCTACAATCTATCTTCATTAAGTCTTTTTTTTCAAGAAACTAGGCACTAAAACATGACTAAATCATTTGAAATTGTGTTTGCTGTTCCTATGGAATGTCAATCGTGTGTTAATGCCGTATCACAATCATTAAAATCATTGAACGGTGTATCTAAATATGACATTGATTTAAAATCAAACTTGGTCACCACAGAGGGTTCGGTTCCCCCATCCGAAATCGTAAAAGCTATTCAGAGTACCGGAAAAGATGCTATCATACGTGGTACAGGAGCACCCAATTCGGCGGCCGTGTGTATTTTGGAGTCGTTTGATCCAAAAGATTTTCAACAACCAGTTAAAGGTTTGGCCAGAATTGTGAGCGTGGGTGCCAACGACCTAGTCGTTGATTTAACTGTCAATGGCTTGCCTCAAGGTGTATATTACCCATCCATTCGAAAATCAGGGAATTTGTCCAAGGGTGCATTGTCTACTGGTGGATGTTTCTACCAGTTAGCTCCGTTGGAAGTCGACCAGCCTGTTTCTGAATCTACAACCATAAATTCGCTTGGAGCTGCCTCTCCTACTGCCGAAGAAGGCTCTTTGTACGCTGGTCAAGGATTCCTACATGCCGACTTAAATATATCTGACTTGATCGGCAGAAGTGTCATCTTGTCGAAGTTGAAAGATGAAACTGCTCCAGACTCGTTGTGTGGGGTCATCGCTCGTAGTGCTGGAGCTTGGGAGAACGATAAACAAGTTTGTAGTTGCTCAGGTAAAACCGTATGGCAGGAGAGATCTGAAGCTCTTGCCAAAGGCTTGAAACTGTAAATAATGTCTATATAGTAGCTGTTTCTATAATACTTATACCTATATGCTCAGATTTGATCATTTCTGGCGTAAACTTGAGAATACACATGCTCTCAAATTTTTTTATATCTATATGAATCAAACCTATATTTTGTTGTATATTGTATGAATATACATTAGTACCGCTATATAATTGGCAGTGTTAATGAATCATCAATCGTTTCATTATTTCATACCTAAAGAGTTTCAAGTTTTTCCAACACATATTTGAACCATGCATCAACCGTATCTATCGGAGAAGTCGCATATCCTACAGTTGATCAAGGATCAGCTCGAGCAGATTAAATATAATAAGACAGTGAAATTGAACAATATTTTGCCGGATATACAAAATGTGACATTGTCAGAGGTAATAGAATGTCTCCATGAGTTTTTACATTCACATGAGCCGTATTTGGAGCTCGAGAGGTTGTCGCTCCAGGGAAATCAGCTCACCAAATTGCCCAATAATTTTTCAATAATTTCCAGTAGCATTCGATATTTGGATCTCCATGATAACAAGTTCACGGAGTTTCCTGAGGTAATAGGTGATATACCAAATTTAGAGATTTTGGACATGTCAAGAAATATGATGCAAACATTGCCATCGTCCGAAGTAGCCAGGCTTCAGGATTTGAGAGTATTATCATTGAAAGAGAATAGGTTCAAATATTTGCCACCTGTTCTTTGTAAGCTTGGCAGTTTGCATTTGATAGAAGTGACTGAGAACCCACTAGTGATGCCATCTCCCGAAGTAATACGAAATTTCCAAATGCAGTCGCCTGATCTAGACTGGGTGAATGAGTTGAAAAATTACCTTAACACAAATAGCTCAATATTGGAAATGAAGCTTGCTGAACAAGCTGATCATTTCAGGGAACAAGAACATGTAACACGTTTACCACCAGCAATATCTAGGTCAAAGAGTATATCTGAAACGAGAACCAGTGCATCAAGGGCTGCTAGAAGAATGGGATTAATTATTAGAAAGCCCGACGAAACAAAGTCTAATGATACTTCCAATACCAGCAATGACTCTTCTGATTCGCAATATCATTATGGGGACTTTTCAGGTTTCGCCCCTGGATATTCTTCACCTCTGCCTTCGCCCCAACAATCATTATCTGCATCTGCAAGCCAAACCACTTTTAGCATATCAACACCTCCCCCAGTTCCATCAATAGCTACGGTCTCTACGAACGCGGGCACCCAGGCAAATATACAATACCCACAAGCATCTAGCACACCTATGATAAGTAGGACTTCAAGCCGTAATAGATCCAGATCTAATACATTAAGGGAAATAGATAGGATTCTTGAGAAAAGTGATACGGTCGATACAGAACATAAGTCTGGAGCTTATTTTAGACGACTTTCTACCTTACAAGAATTGCCTACCGATGAAAATATTTCAGTCAACATTGCATCCAGTAACACTGCCCCTCACTCATCATCTACTTCTAGAAATAATGGTGTAGGCCAGCAGTACAAAAATGGCATAAGTCAATCAATGAATAATATTGACACCTCCGAGACTATACATGAAGTACCTCAATCAGCCAGCAAGTCTACATTAAGAGTTTCGTCAAAGACGGCCTCCCATAAAGGTGATGTTTCACCGTCGAGGACTTCATTCCAGTTGAAAGACACTAGTTCTAAGAAAAGTTCTTATACTGCAGCATTAATAAAAGCTTCTAGAAAGATTCTTTTCTCCTTCAGTGAGCTTCATTCTTCAGTGCGTAGGTTTACAGGTTTCTGCATTGACAAGAAAATCACCATTAAGATGGTTTCCTACTTGTACACTACAAAATCAAATATTGATTCTCTAGTGGAGAATTTAGAAATAGTCGAAGAGAACGGTGATAATATAGATCAAATCAACGTTCATCTCCATGCCTGCATTTCCTCATTCAAATCAATTATGGATTTATTAAGTGAAAACTTCTCAACTTTTGTGATGAAGATTGATGTTTGCTTTATCAGAATGCTTTATTTGACGCTTTATGGCTCGTTCAATGAATTATTGAATGCTCATAAAATACTTTCTTCTACCCTGGGATTACAAGTTTCTACCACAACACGTTCAAATGCTACTTCTACTAGCCAAGCACCCTCTTTGGATTCAAAGCACTCAACTAAGCCTTTGTCAATAAACACTAGCAACGTTGGAGGTGACACAGATGATATAGATGAGAAGCTATATGAGAGCATTGAGATTGCAACTTCTAATGCTCAAATCGTTTTTAGCGAGTTAACGAAAGCTATTGGCAAAACAGCAACAGGTGGTGCGGTCAGCAATTCGGCACCTTCTGGTCAATCTAGTAACCATACAGTTGCTACTAAAGTCAAGGAATTAACTAATGTATGTGTGTCTTCGATGGACATCACCAAAAGGCTTAAAACTAAATTAATCACCATTAGAAATAATCCATCACAAACAACCAAAAAACTATTCTGGGACGATATTAATCTATTCCTCAAGGCAATCATCCAGACATTTTCGTCCGTTAAGGGTGTCATGAAGGACTTGCCGATTTTGAACGACGTTAGATCATTCATGGCTAATTTGACCAAGACTACCAAAGATGTTACCATCATGTTGGAGGCCTCGTCATACAGATCAATGTCTTCTGAATCAGCTTCATCATCTACATCTGCACTTCCGCCCCAATTACCCTCCATTGCGAGTGTTTCCAACATATTCACTCCTATATCTCCTCATCCTCCAAATTCCGTCCATTCGCATTCTCTGGCAAACTTGGTTCAAATGAGTAACCCAATTTTAGCGAATACTCAGCAAGGTCTGTTTGCCACGCGTACACCGCTTCCCAACCCTTCTGGTCCCCCTACGCTGATTGAGCCACCCGCTGGTCATTCCAGTTCGATGCTAAATACTAATTCGATAACTGGTGGGGCAAGTGTCACCGCACCTGCTCATTCTACAGGCCAATACTACGCAAAAAATGGCATGAATCCTTTTGATGGCCTCATTTTGGCAAATAGTGATAAGGATAGAGCCACCACTCGTACTAATGAATAGTAAATATATAGTAAAATGTATGGTAAGAACTTCCGTGATATTTTCGTTTGTAACTCAATATTTACTCTGAGCGATGAGAAGAGTCAATTTCTTCTCCACCATAATTTTTCAGATTTTTCGCTTGAACTTAGTTAAAAGAATCAGATTGTACCAATAGTAAAAGAAAGTTATAAATATATACATATATTCAAAATGACGATCGAGTTAGAAGAACCTATACTTACACAAGATAACTCCCAGGTTTATAAGGATTTGTTTGGTGGTACTATCGGGGGTATTACGCAAGTTTTGGTGGGGCAACCATTTGATACGGTTAAAGTTAGATTACAATCTGCTCCAGAGGGCGCATATACGGGAGCATTAGATGTTATGAAAAAATTGATTGCCAATGAAGGTCCTATGGGTTTTTATAAAGGGACATTAACTCCATTAATTGGGGTTGGTGCATGTGTTTCTGTGCAATTTTCAGTGAATGAATTCATGAAGAGATACTACGATAGAGCTTTGGATGGTCAAGCTTTGAGTTTAGGACAATACTTCAACTGTGGTGCGGTCGCAGGTTTTGCCAACGGTTTCTTAGCATCTCCGATCGAACATATCCGTATCAGATTGCAGACCCAAACCGGAACTGACAAATCGTTCAACGGGCCTATTGGTTGCGCCAAAAAGGTGTACCAAACTGGGGGTATAATGCAAGGTATATTTAAAGGTATAGGACCAACTTTGTTCAGAGAATCAATTGGTTTAGGTATCTACTTTGCAACATATGAAGCCCTTATAAGCAAAGAATTGGAAAAGAAGAAGGATATTGTTCGTACTGATATTCCAGGATGGAAATTATGTGCTTTTGGTGGTTTATCTGGGTACGCTTTATGGGGTGGTATCTATCCAGTTGATGTTGTCAAATCTAAGTTGCAAACCGACTCTTTGAGTAAGCCAACTTATAGAGGATCATTGAGTGTTATAAAAGACATTTGGATCAAGAACGGTATCAAGGGTTTCTACAAGGGTTTTGTACCAACTATTTTAAGAGCTGCCCCAGCTAATGGTGCTACATTCGCTGCATTTGAAACAACAATGAGAATGATCAATTAAGTTACTTGGAAACAACGTTGATCGAATTCCTATGTATGACCAGTTTGAAAGCTGGTGCCCTTATATATTTCAACATACAATAGAAGCTATATAGAATGTTTAATATTCCGTTACTATACTATGAAAATTATGTCTATCAGTATATGTGTAGTTGTGTAGTATATTCACACCTAAATGAAGTATAAAATAAACGAAAACCAATCAAGAACGCCTCGTAAAATACATGACTATACATAGTGTATGGGAATGATGCTTTGACGCTTTAAATAAAGCCTAGATACTAATGTGACTTGCTACGTCATAAACTCCAACCGACTAATCTTCTCATTCACCTTTTCTTGCAAGGTGGTTTACCCCCTCGGGGTGTAACTGATAATCAGAACCTATCGCATTAACACTATCATATTGAGTCTCTGTCTCCTCTGTAAACTGATCAAACGGATAGTCCTGAGGTCGTATAACCTTTATGAATTCCATAAAATCCATGAAATATTCCCCATTAAATTCATAACAATCTGTACCCAATAATTCAAGTTTCTCCAGATAAGTAATCTCATCCGTATTATGGGGTACGAATTGCTCCTCTATATCTACACTAGTGGGTGATTCAGTAGATTCTGCTTGTACTCTTTCTCTCTCTTCCCTCATTCGTTGGTTGAAAGTCTTATCCATTCTTAAATGTAAGCCAGGTACAAGATCAATGCAATATAAAAATACGCAACTCAAAACAAAAACGTATGCTGCCGTAACTGAACACCCTAATAACTGATATCCTAATTGAATCCAGTGACCCTTCACCCAGCCACCGTCTGAATTATACCTTTGATTTGCAAATATTCCAGTAAGCAATGACCCAAGTATACCTGCCACGCCATGAATAGCAAATATATCTAAGGCGTCATCAATTTGAACAAAAAATTTGAGTCTTGTAGACAAATTAACGATTAATCCACCAAGTACTCCGAATACAAAACTCTTCCAGAAATCTGTGGGAGAAGAAACGTATCCTCCGCCAGGAGTTATCACTGCTAAACCTGTCACAATACCCGATGAAAACGATATAATCGATACCTTCCTACGCTGAACAAAGTTGGATTTTGTATCATGGTAATGCTGGTTTATTGAAGCACCAGTAACTGATGGAACTGTTCTAATATTTGTCGATGAAGTTCTTAAGACGTGGATCTTATCTCTATGATTTGAAAGTGTACTTTCTATAGGTGCACCTTCTAATGGAATTGCGGAAAAGTAATAATCAATTAGCATCCAAATTATTCCGCTTGTTGATGCACATAAGAGTACATTCAAAATAATGTATAAAGATTCGATTGTGAACTTGTAATCGCACCCGGCAACGAACCCACACCAGCCACATATCATGAAAAATGTTCCTATGATAATATAGCCAGTATTAGTGCTTCGATAATCATAGAGAATCTTTGGATTTCTAGGCCCTAAAATGTAAGAATATGCTAAGGCCGTGAACCCGCTAACAATATGCACACAATTACCACCAGCAAAATCCAATACTGGAAGGCTGTTTAACTCGACGGACAACCACCCTTCTCTATTCCAAAACCAATATGTTACGGGATTGTATATAATGACCGACCAAAAGAATAGAAAAACAACCATAGGTAGTATTCTTCCTCTTTCTGCAATACACCCTGGAAACGTCAAGCACACGCATATAACCTTCATAAACCCATTAAACAAAAAATGATTTATCAGCCATATTTCACCCCTAGGTGTGTTATAATTGTTTGTAACTGAATCTCTCATATGACGTAAAACTGCAAAATTCAAGTCACCTATGAAGTGGTTGGAAGAACTGGAATAGCACAATGAATACCCCCAAATAAACCATTCTATCAATATAAACGGTGTGAGAAATACCGGAAGGGCAAGCATAGTCAAAGATGATCTCCGTTGCGTTAAGCCTGAATAGAAAAGTGCAATACCAATCATAGCCAACGGAAGTAATGACGTACAGTAGATCATGTACAATGAATTAATTACGGTCCATACATCTTCTATACTTGTCAGCACCTGATAATGCAGACTACTCATAGTAAAAGTTTATTACAACGGCAATTCTCTATGTTCTTATGGATCTACGACTATATCGATCCCATCAAGTCGTTAGTTCTCTATTATTAACGAGTTTTTGAACGATATACTAATAATTTTTCAGTTTTCTATTGTTTGTCATTGATTATATGACGAAAAAAAAAATATTGATAAATCGAGCAGGTGATTAAAATATTTCTTATCTAAAGCAAAATCGCTATTCACTCCAACAAAAGAGATCGAAGCATTCTTGGCATGCTGTGGGTATTTTAAAGTCATCTTGGTATAGTGTATTAAGTCCAAGTTCTATTTGATCAAATTGCCGTTTTAAAATGGCGCATCCGATACAAACTGAATATTGCGTGGAGTTCATGTACGTGGCTAAATTATAACCATTTTCGATCATTCCGGATGCTTCTTCTGGAGTATAGCTTAGTTTGAATGTCGATGTATTTGACGGAAAAGAATAATTTGAATTTGCTGTGTAAATAATAAGGGGTGGTAGATAGTGGTTGTTTGTGGGGGAATTAGTGAAAGTTTGGCTTTGATCTCTATGTTCAACGGTTCTCATTTTAGGATAATCTTTAGAGAGATTGCAACCAAAAAATACAGGTTTATTGTTTAGATTTAATTTCAACATGGTCTGAGGGTCAGGCACTTTAGGGAAAACGGATCTGATTTCGGTAGTTGTCAATTTTTTCGTTTTGGTGTCGTTGGAAGGTACATTATGGCCCACGCTTTCAGATGCAAAATTGTTTTGTATACTTGAAGGTAAGCGAAATGTTGGAAGAGAGAAGCTGGTGTGTCTATTATGAAATCTTTCGGATGATTTCACCAATGTTGTTCCATTTGGGTAGTTAAATAAATCTGAAGTCATGTCGAATGATAGTATGACATCGACTTCTCTTGCACTCTGTAAGAACGGCTGGAATGGTATGTTTTGGCCATCGTCTCCACCATCTACAAGATAGATAGTTTTACTTTTTGAAATTTCTTCTTGACTAGTTTGAGAATCGTTATATCCGTAAAACGGATTTGGTGAAAACGATGCATAGTCAGGATGATGCAGAGGAAACTCGAATGATTTAAAATCAGAACTTAATCCAAAAGACTTAAGTATCGTATTTATAGCCGTGGAAGCTTCCAGGTTTAGTCCTAAAAGGAATTGGTACACATAGACAAATATGTGACTGAATAAGCAAGATGAAGTGCCAGTGATAAAGCCAATATTGTCGAACCCTGAAACACATATTGATATATTCGGATTCGGAGTCAGAATCGTAGATCTCCCTCCAAATAACGACGAACCAAGATATTTCATCGGCACGAAGGCATTTAAGTATGAATCCCAAGAGCCAAACTCGTACGGTGTGAACTCAAATAAGTGTGAATCCTTACTGGTCATATCTTTTGTCGGTACTTTTTCAACAGCACATATTATTGGGAAAGGCTGTTCATTTTTTTGGAATGAAGACATAAGTGTACTTGCTGTTACAGTGGCACCTGGACTTCTAGCAGAGTTAGGAAAAATTCTACGTGCTAGCACCCTACCCCAATAATCAGTAAAAGATAAGTGATAACCTGCTATGCGCTTTGCGCGGACTTCGATATTCAATTCTTTATAGTAACTAAAAACTTCCTTCCATGTTGCTAATCCTCCCAATTCGAGTAGTTTTTGATTGTTTTTTGATGCCTTCAGGTCTGCTTTTGAGAACAAAGATTTAAAGAATTCACTTACTGTTGAGCTTTTGTTTACATTCTTTACTTCTCTTTTCAGTTTTGAAAAGACTTGCAGCAGTTGAAGTTCAGTGCTTCCTGTAGCACCTTTCCCAGAATCAAACCACTCTATAATAGTTTTCATGAAGGCGGGCCATTTATCTTTTTGTTTGGTTGAAGAATTTGGATTAGTTTGGTTGCTGGTGGGTATGTCTGATATTGCATTTTGTATAGTCGTAGGATCAAAATTGGGTATGCCTGCCAAAAGCTGATCTTGTAATGCCCATGCGCTAGGATCGTTTCGTAGTTCGTTTATTGGTTTGAAGTCGTTTATCAAGTTGCTCATGACTAGCCATGAACCACCAGATATTCCACCGATATACGATAAAGCTTGCAATAGTCCACCCAATTTACCATCTTCTGTAGAGTTTGACGTTCGGAGATCGTAGGCAGCCATGACGCCTGCTCCGGTCAACATTGATCGGTATCCACCACCCGAAATAGCAAGAGCTATAGTAATGCATTTTGTTGAATTTGCTAAAAACGTTTGATAATCAAAATCCGGTATTCTATTTCGTGAAAATAGATCCATCAAAGCTACATCTGTCAATTGTTTCCTTCGTCTCATATACTTCTCTTCATCTTCACATAAGGTCTAAAGTTATTAGTATTGAGCTTCCTCCATGAGTAGTGCTGAAAGTTATCTTACTTGATTTGCTGTCCGTACTAGCAGGAAAGATGGGCATTGGGTTTTATACGGAGCATACGACAAATTCCAAAAGTATTGATCCTTCTGAAGACTCGCATCATAATTCAGTAATGTTAGTGGGCTATCTATATATGTCTGTAACCGCTCTGATATTGTTCTGTTCAATTCAATTCCAAAACTTTTTACACGCTTATTCTCTGTTGGCATCCCACATACTACTAATATAATGGCAAGGTAGAATACATATTCCAAGGTATGTCGCAACATAATTTAGTATACGTGGTTGTCTTCAAATATTCATTAATGAAATATTTCCAGAATGGCCGCAAAATATGCTTGTGGACGTTCAAAAATTATATCGACCTACACCAAATTTTTTTTAAATAAATATCTATTAATATAGAAATAAACAATTAGACTAAATTAAAAATTTACTGGAATAATTCAGAAAAATTCACGTATATGTATAAAAAGAAAAGAAAACTAAAGACTACAAAAAAACCAAGCTATAACGATTAGAAATAACTTAGAAATCTTCTTCTTCAGAAACGTAGGCATCACCTAATTCCTTCTTCTTCTTCATTCTTTCCTTCTTCTTCTTTCTTAATTCAGCAGAAGATAACTTAGTCTTCTTCTTGGCAGCAGCAATCTTGTTACCCATAGCATCGAATTTGTCTTCTTCATCTTCCTTCTTTTCAAGTCTTGGACCTGCACCTTGACCTTGAACCCAGTTGTGACCGGATGGAGTCATCTTACCGTCTAAGACAGCCCACACTTCTTCAGTAATGTCCTTGGTGAATTCAGCAGAGTGAGTAATGATAACAATACCACCAGCGAAAGCCTTCAAAGCCTTGGATAAAGCACCTAAGGAGTCACGATCCAAATAGTTAGTTGGTTCATCTAAGACAATTAAATGAGGTCTTTGCCATGTACAAGCAGCTAAGACCAACTTAACCTTTTGACCACCAGATAAACCTCTGATTCTGGAGTGAGAAACTAATTCAGTTTCCAAACCCAACATAGCACAGTGCTCTTCAATTTCCTTTCTGGTTAATGGTCTGAATTGACCGGAGGCTAAAGCTTCCTTCATATCGACTTCGGCGACTAACTTGGAGTGAGTTTCCATGATTTCACCTCTTGGTAACCAAGCGTTATCAACAGACATCATTGGGACCCATCTTTCGTTCTTCATACCGATGTTTTCACCCAACATCCAAGAACATTCATACTCGTAAGAGTTCTTGAACTTTCTTCTGGCGTGGATACCAGCAATTCTTCTTGGAGTACCTTCAATCTTGAAGACCTTGTTCATAGAAGTTTCATCATCTTCGTTGATTTGTCTGGAGGCTCTGTCCATAGTTTCTCTATCTTCACCAGTTTGGAATCTCCATTGGATATATTCAGATGGAGTCTTGTCTAAATGGTTATCAATATGAGCGAAAGCGTGTTGTTTAATGTAAGCAATACGACAGTTTTCGTGGACGTAAACTTCACCTTCAGTTGGTAATAATTCACCAGTTAAGACGTTAATCAAGGTAGATTTACCAGCACCATTTGGACCAATAACGGCAATTCTAGAAGATAAAGAACATTGGAAATTAATATCTTGAATTTGAGGCTTGTTTGTACCTGGGTATTGGAAAGTCATGTTGGAAACCTTGACAATAGCCTTTTGCTTAGTCTTAACACCTTCTAAGAAACCTGGTTCTGGGAAGCTGAATTCTAAGTCAGAGGCACCTAATTCGTAGTAAGATTGAGCGGATGGACACTTCTTGACGAATTCGGATAAGTTACCCTTGTACTTTCTTAACTTGAAACCTTCGTAGTGGATAATATATTGAACAACATTATCTAAGAAACCGGAATCGTGGGAAACAATAATGGAAGTAATACCACATGTTTGTAAGTAGTTGACTAACCAAGCAACGTTAACGGTATCCAAATGGTTAGTTGGTTCATCCAATAATAAGATATCAGCGTTCTTTAAGACGGCTCTAGCTAAAGCTAATTTCATCTTCCAACCACCAGATAAGGATTGAATTGGCATAGAGATCATCTCGTCAGTGAAGTTGAATTCTCTTAATTTGGAAACAACAACTTCTTCGGTTAAACCGACTTCACCATCTTCAAGAACGAATTGGGCAACGGTGGTATCAGCGTGAGTACCATCGATATCGTGTTCGACGTAAACAGTCTTACATTCTTCTTGGGTTGGGAAACCTTCAACTTGACCGTTAGCAATAGCTCTCATCAAGGTAGACTTACCGGCACCATTTGGACCACATAAACCATATCTTCTGTTTCTCTTTAATCTGAATTGAGTCTTGTTCAACAAGATCTTAGCACCGTAAGCTAACGAGAACTCACAGTTACATAAGTCTTCACCTTCATCTTCTTCATCTTCGAATGATGGTGGAGCTGGGATGTTGTCAATAGCTCTCTTTCTGAATTCTTCAATGATTTCCTTGGCTTCCTTTTCGTGTAAGAAAATAGTAGCAAATGGCAATAAGTTTTGGATCCAAGTGTCTGGGTTGATGGCTCTTTCATCGATCAAGTCACCAGCAATTGCAGCAATATAGTTCAAGGCTGGGTCGAATCTTGAAGCAATGTTCTTACCCTTTAATAATTCTTGGAAAACACCTAAGGTAACTGGAATATCACCGGCGGTGGAGACTTCTGGAATAACGTCACCTTCCTTGATATCACCAACTCTTCTTAAGGTGTTCAAAGCCCTGTTGGTAACTTCACGGGCTTCTGGGTCAGCCATGGTGGAGAAATTAGCCTTTAAAGCAGGTAATAATTTGTCCATGAAAGGGGCAACAACTTGTGGATCGTCGACTAATTTACACATGTTATCAACAATAACAGCAGCCTTACGCTTGATAGCGGTTTCACGTTCAGCTAAACCTCTAGACAATAATGGGGCCATGATGGATAAAGTAGCCATAGTAACTTCGGAGACGAAAGTGGTAGAACCCAAGATGTGGACGGTTTCTGGAACTTCGGTTGGCTTGGCAATACATTCGATCAACTTTGGAATGAACTTTTCGATATCCTTGTTGTCGATGGTTTCGGTGGACTTGGTCATGGTGTTGGTAGCAGCTTCCTTGACTTCCTTCTTGGTATCCCACATAGCTTCAGATAAGACTGGAATTAATTCCGGCATTCTTAAAGCAACTTGGTCCTTAGCGGTGTCAACCAATTGGGAGAGCGATCTCAAGATGGCAATCTTTTCGGTCCACTTGTTGGTGTTAACCAAGCTGTCCAATAAGGCTGGTAATAAAGCCTTAACAGCTGTTGGGGTAATAGCTTGAGCGATGGCAAACAAAGCATCTGAGGCAGCAGATTGAATCTCCTTGTTCTTGTCACCAGCCTTAGCAGCAACATCAGTAACCAAAGCGACAATGTATGGTTCAACAGATGGTGATAATGCGTTGGATGAAGCAATGTGTGCGTAAGCACTCAAAGCAGCAATGCTAACATCATCTTTCTTGTTACCAATTTGTTTCTTCAAGTCTTGGAAGAATTGTTCTGGAACATCATGTTCGACAATCGACGAGTTCAAGAAAGAAGCAACATTAGCAGCAGCTTCTTCCTTATTATCAGCAACTTGAAGTTTGCTTAATAATTCGGAAAGCACTTCAGCAGAGTATTTAGATTCACTGGCAGCAGACATTTTCCAATGTTAGTTAGAACAAGAAAAGAATAAAAAAAAAATTCTTCAGAATTCTTATTAAATATATTAGTGGCCAACTAAAAAAAATTTTCACATAACGGAATCTCTTCGCTGCACAAAAAATTTGGTGCGGCTCAACAGAAATGCTTTTTGTTGTTTCTGTTCCATCTACCTCGTTTTTGGCTTATCTTGAGACTGTAAATGTCAGTATGCAAATGTAAGTGTAGACCGACATTTACGCTAGAATGTGTTAGTTACCCGGTTAGGATTTTAAACGGTTGCACTGTGATTGGGTTTAAGTTTAGGCAGATGAGTAGCGAGAATATATGCACACTTGACATGAGAAAACGTAGAGACAGTAGTGGCCTAATGAGTGGTAGAGAGAAAGGAGGGTGGTATGAGGGGGATTTAGTAGGCACATGGAGGTCGGGAGATAGCAAAGAAGAATGGGAGCGAAGGGCAGCATGGCTGGACCATCGCGCATGAATTCAAGCAGAGGACGTTTGGAAGTAGAGATGGGGAAACAAAATGGACGGACGATATGGGCGATCTGGAAGGTATGGGGTCTTTTATGGTGGTTTTTAAGGTGTTGCAAATGATACGAGGGTATTATTGGTGTTCCTCGTAGTCTTAGGTAATCGATACGTTTGCGATGAGGTACCCATTGGAATGAACAATAGTCCGGCTCCAGATTATAGGTTCCTACCACCGAACATGACCCGTAGGAAAGGTCGCAGAGGGTACCATCATCGTGTGGTCGATGGAAAGGTCGTCAATGGAACGACGATAAACGACATAGATATGAGATTCTGATCATAGTCGACAGATCGACAGAATGACCTTGGTGACAGTGGAATACCGATGGAACTCAAGCTATAGGTCCAATAAAAATGCTAACGATGTGTACTAACAGGTTTTGTAGTGTAGTGGTTATCACACTGGTTTCTGATGCTGGTGACCTGGGTTCGATTCCCAGCAAGACCTTTCTTTTTTTGTGTCGAACCGCGACATTTTGATTGTCTCCTGTTTGTGATAGAAGCCAGTTGGAGAACTACCAGAAGTGATCTACATAATTCATGAGCTTGACTTGGTTTTAATCATTGCTTCTTGGTGTGTGATACAGCCAGGTCCAGTTCGTAGAAACCTTTATTTTTGACCTTGTTTTAGAAATTTTCAGGATAAGGAAAGATGACACTGGTGTTCATAAACTGGTGGTCACAATCTACTAAAACTCTAAACGTAGCGACGTAAAATTAATATACATGTGTAATTCTATTTAAACTATCAAGGGAGTAATGTTGGTCATAATTTATCCTCCACGCTTACACCTTGTTTTGGATTCTTGACACCATCAGGATTCTCATTACCAACCACTGGTGCTTCATTAGCCATGCCTCCTTTTGGAGCTTCCACAACTCCCACACCAATATCACCCTTTGATCCCTGGGCAAGATTTCCGGCCAATCCAACGTTTTCTGATTCCTTGTCCGCATTTCCGATTCCAACTATGTCATCTAGGTTCTTGTTGTATTCAATGTCCGGTTGAACGATTTCATAAGATGGTTGTTCCATTGAATCCCTCAAATCCTGCGAAATCCAATACATACAAGTCCCAAATAATATTAATAGGATCGTATATCCAACCACTTTTCGACTTGGGGAAGCGAAAAATGACTTTGCTCTCTGGTTGTAAGGTGAAAATTTCAGCGACGGTTTCATATAATATGGCCTTGGTAAACCGTTATTTTTATAACTACCTTGCATCCTAACACTCTTTATATTCTGTTACTATTGGCAGTCTCTTTCGTGGCAACACCTAAACATATAGCTGTTAAACAATTGGTATTTTGACTTCTTCTTGATATCTTTTTGCGAGTTCTCTGCTTATGTAATCGAATGTTCACAACTAGAACCACCTCTCCCAAGTGACCAAGGACATAAGAATGGAACTGTAAAGGAAAGTGTTTACTAACAAGCGCTCTGCTTAGTTTCTGATCTCCATTCATCTTTCACTTGCCGTATTTGCTTTTCTTTTCTTTTTTACTTCTATTATAATATTTCGTCTCTTTTTTTTGCCTGTTTCACAAAAACTCAAAATGTACTCTCTGTGAACTAAAGCCATTGAATACTAGTCAATGAAATGTCTCTTGTTCTCATTCTGTACAATGTGAATTATTACTGTTCAACGTTTTTCCTACACTACAGGTATTTGGAAAGTTATGATTTTTTCGTTTGTTCATATTTTTACAAATTCAATAATAATCACTGAAAATTAAAAAATCCATATCTATTAAAATTATAACATACACTTATATAAATTATATAAACATACAATTATACAAATACAAACCAGTAGTTGCATTAACTACTACTTTGGTTGATGGCTCGAAGAAGAGTAAAACGACTGTTTGTATTAAGCTTAATCGATTTGCAATAAATCTTGCGACACGAGCCGCATCACCCATAAACACAAATCGAGTCAAGGAAATTGTCTATATTATGCTACTTCCAAAGCCACGAATAGTATAGGAGACTTGCATTTTATATGAAAGTTGGTTTGCTGGGATATTATAGTAGCATAGCATTAGAATTTATGTACATAAAGTGAGAATATGTCTACTTTCAATATCGTATAACTACACAAATGTATATTATTCATAAATCATGCTGTTGAATGTCTATAACAAGACAAAGTTGTTATTCTTAAAATATGTACACAATTTGTCTTGTATACTTTATGCCAATCAAATAATCATATGTATATACAATAAATCATGCAAGACCTGACATAACCAGACCTAAACTCTAACATAAACCTTATATTAACGAGAACCAAACCAAGTAAGAATGCGCTAACTAGCCTTGATGCTACCGTACTTATTATCCCTTCTTTTTGCTTGTTTTCTAAGCATGGGAATGAAAGCATTCATTATATTAGCTCTGCAAAAGGCCCCAATAATAAACTTGCAGAAAAACGGTTTGGACATTTACGACCTTAAAAGCGTCTTATGGGTCTTTCTATCAACAAGTACATTTGTTATAGTATCTCTAGGAACGCTTACCAATCCCAATTCCCTCTTGTGTAAGTTATTAGGATCCAATCTGTCTTCCGATATTTCAAAGACGTTTGTGAGTAAAAGATTTCCAAATGGATCAACAACCGTCAAAACACCATCGAGTACCCTCAAATCAGTTAACTTCAATCTGAGCTGTGATCCAATGAACTTCTCTGGTTTCATTTCCTTCGTCACCATTAATGCCAGTAGTTACCATCTAAGACCTAAGGCTATTGTGTAGATTTGAATGAAAAATATAATTATCGCCTAGTTACCCGGCTTGAATCCGTTGAGTATAAATTTAGCGAAACTTTCCTCTGTTCAGATTTCAAATTTTTTCCCTAACATCTATCGCAGCTTCACCCTCTATTAAGTCAGTTTATCTTTTTCGTATATAAATATTCTGATCGGAGGATTACCAGTGAATGAAAGCGTAGAAGAACCATCATGGAGCACGTTTCTGGGCGCCCGGTATTGACATTGATCGTGGAATACTGGGAATCAGTTGTGACTAAATCTATATATTTTGTAAACTACATAGTTTGTAATTTGTAAAAGCTTGCATACGTTTAATTGCGTTTGAAATTCCTTTGAATCCCCGTCTCGTCGTGAAGGGGACGTAAATTGAGTTAGGCGATATATTTTGTGCAATCATAATTTTGATATTCTATATTCTCGTTATTGAAATTCGAATTCGGACTATTGTTAATTTTAATGTTTAAAGCAGGTTAAGGATGGACGAAGAAACAAGATGCAATGAGCTAACCGTTCTATATAATGAATACAAGGAGTACTTTCTGCTATGTGAACTAAAGTTAAACCTGTCGAGTCCTAATACGAATACAACATCAATAACGGGTGACGATTACTACGCAAAATTAGCATCGAGGAGAGGCAAAACAAATATTGAAAGTCATATACATCTCAAGACCATAGAAGGTGTTACAATTAGAGTATCGTTAGACACGTCCGGCTGGTACGAGATTCCGGAAGATGATACATCAGAGTTATTTAAGCATTATGAAACGTTTGAATCGTTGATGATGCAGCGATCACGAAGTTTCCAAAATATGTTCGGCAATACACTATCGAATAGATTACACAACCTAATAAGCGAAAAGATGCATTCAGAACAAGCATAATAGTCAAACTACAAATTTCACGACTTTACGATTTAGATGAATGTATTCCTAGAATGATATATATACAAGATGCGGGTTCGCTAGTAAATTGTTTTGGGGAGGTGGACTTATTTATGTTTTTTAGTTTCTTTTCTTACGAAATTTTCAACATCACCAACATCATACTTAGTGTTTCTAATGTAGAATTGCTTTCTTCTTGGTAAATACTTCTTAGGGTTGTGAATAACTTCAATATTTCTAATGTTAGGATTAAAAAGTGGGATTCTCATTTCAACACCCAATTTGCTGATCTTATTTCTGAGCAATATATTTGTTCCGACACTATTCACAGATCTCTTAACAGCAATAACTTGCCCAGTAACATTTGTTCTATCAAGATATGTTACTTTAATAATATCTCCAGAACGAACTCCAGTGTCTTGATCAACAAGGGCTCTTCTTTTACCAGTTGGATCATACTTTTGAAGTAATTGTTTATGCAAATATGGTATAACGCTTTCACCATTTCTCTTCTTTGGTAATGGTTCGTATACAGTTGGTAGTTTATCTGCTACAGTTAGTATTTAATTCAAAGTTAGGTCGAACAAAATCCATGGATACGTACCCTTTTTAAAAGGAATAAAAGTTCTCACTGCTTGCAACGATATACTGCCTGAACGGACAGCTAATCCTCTGTTTAAAAGACTGAACATTTCACCAATCTATGCTGAAGTTTTAGTATATACAGCTAATATCTCTTAAAATCAAGTTTCTAATTTTCAAGAAATTTTCATTTTGAGAATTTCTTAGTGTTCAAAATTACGCTTTTGTTCCTAAAATTACTTTACAAAATTATGTCAGTATGGACTAAAACTACGTTTAGATATGTATATATATAATTTACAAATGACCAATAGAGAGATGCAGAAAGAGAATGAACTCGAGATAATAGGAACTAGAAACGAGGACGTCTTTTTCTGGCGGTGAATTTGGAGTCGTGAGCGACGTCCCTTCCTCTTCTTCTCATGGTTTCCTTCTTTCTATTGATGAACTCCTTTTTGGATTCCAATTTCTTCATGAGTTTCTTGTTCACTTTCTTGTTGGCCTGTGGTGCATCCATTTGGGCTCCCGATAAGTTTATACTTCTTTCGGACTGACCAGCAGTTAATACAAGATAATACTTCTTGTGACGTTTCGACTCAGGTTCATCTATGATCAAACCACCACCAAAACCTGCTAGCTTAGCTGCATCCAAAATAGATTCGGTTTGTGAATCATTCATTGGATAAAATTGTGCAACAAATTTTCCTCCTCTTCTTAAAGATGCATACAACGAGTTGAAAAATCTCAACATTCTCTTTTTAGGATCAGCATTAGCAACATCAGCATTACATAACCATTGAATAGCAGAAATGGAGATTGCAGCGTCAAAAGTACCCGCTCTAAACGGTACACCATTACCCAAATCACTCAAAAATACATCTCCCTCTAACCCTCTATCTAAACCGGTCGCCAACATATTTGGAGAAATATCCATTCCCACCCAGTTGTAACCTTCTTCGGTCAATATTTCTCCGGATAAACCAGATCCACATCCTAAATCTAATATAAAGTGTGGTTCTTCTCGTGCTAAATTTAATAACTCTAATGCTCTCAAAGTCATCTTCGCCTGAATATGTTGAACACGAGTAGACGTGGTATATTTAAACGATTCAGTATCATTATAGAAAACCTCTGGCGGAGCAAGTTGTTCTGGTCTAGACATTGTATTCTATTTACTTGATGGTTTAGTATGTAATATCTTATCGTCTAGTTATTGATTCTATAATCTATAAAAAAATTTATGAGATGAACTATACTGCACGTGACTGAATTATTGCAACTTTATACATTGTACCAACAACCTTAGTCCCATTAAAATACTAGATAAAGGGTACAGACAAGGCCTGGAGCCAAAACTAAACCGAACAAGGAATTGAAGTTACCAAATCTCCTTCTCTCTTTCATAAAATTTGTGCTACTCAAGGCGATGTGAGGAATCTGAGACAATTGCAACAATGTTATATAGCCTCTAAAACGCTTGAAGATAACATACATAACTAATTCGTGCACTAAACTCGAGAAAACAAATGTGCATAACATAGCCTTATATCTGCTGAGGTTAAATGAACTAATGGATGAATGATACACATGACGGAGTAAGAATTTATGCACAGGACGATTCCAGATTCTGGAGTATTCTGCCCAGTCGGCACTCGACCACCATGGTCCATAGAAATCTCTATCTGCAAATCTACTCAACTCAGCAATAGCATTTAGAATTGCGTCCCAAATCAAAAAGAAATTGAGAATATAAATTAGGAGAAATGGAGGAAGCATGTCAAGAAAAATAGACATGACACGGATCCGTTTTTCCTCAGTAGGCAAGTACAGTAAAGCCATGGCACGCTGCAAAATCGGATATATCCAATTCTGGGCCACAAGAATCATAAGAAATATAATTCCAAAGACGCCGCAAGTCTTTTCTAAAACATACAACCATCTGATCCTGCGTGTACGTGGGAAATTCAAAGTATATACCAAAGTAGGGAACATGGTATATTCGAAGAAATTAAATAAATTTATATTCTGTGGAAATTTGATTATGTTCTTTTGCTGTAAGTCATGGATATCATCCTCCAAATCGAATGGCTCAATTGGGGACTCACTAGACATGGTAGTTGCACTTGATTGATACTCTAATTCAAACTTACAAAACCGAATACTGCCATCCAAAATATTTTTTGTTCTTTCCAAGTCATACTTCTCTGGCAATCTAACCATACCATTAGTTAATCTCTCCAAATAATC